TGCCGACCTGTTATTCAAACGGTATGCTACCACAATAGAACTGCCGCGAGGAAGCCGATCGCTCCGACCGCTTGTAAGCATTTGACTTCTGTTTCGTTGCCCCTATCGGAGTCGTTATCTTCTTTCATTTACAGCACTTGTTCGCTATCGGTCGACATGTAGTATCTAAGCTTTGAGAGTAGTTGAAAGTGTTCATTTTTGGCTAGTCTATCGGATTTCGAACACGGAACAGGAGATTTTTCAGTAGTAGCAGGACCCACGTTATCACCCTACGCTACGCGAGTTGACTGGGCGAATATTCTAGCCAGACCACCTTACCATTTATGCTCACCCAGTTCTCTGATTTCGTATAGCATATTTCGTAGAACGCAAGCATTACTACCATATTCTCTGAAAGCCGCATCAAACGTCGACTTAAGATTCGCGAACACAACGAAAAACGCCTGTGACACTACCCGATAGACACCAGATATGTCCTGAAGCTGTATGCCACATGAAGTCAGACGGAATCCGATTTGCACGAAATTCATGCTGTTTAACTGAAAAACGTGAAAAAGCGTTGGAGAACCTCATCAGCCAGTCTATGACAAGGTGAACCAGGATCTTGACGCGTACTCTCCATCAACAGTTCCGTTAGGTGCGACATTCCTTTTGGAATAGCTCCAGCTTGTTAGTGGGCGCCTTTGTGGTAGGAAAGCATTGAATAGTCTTGCGCGGCTAACATACTTTACATAGCGGTGCACAGTTGCCTATACCAGCTATACATAAAGTTACAAAGCGTCTTCACATTCGGAGACCGTTCGTCTGGAATGTAGAACCTGACCAAGTTCGGCCCGAAATCCCCATGGACGATACGTGTTGCCAATGTGAATGACACTGAATTGCTAAGTTCAACTTTCATCTGTGGGCGTCGTTTGTGGTAGTTCTCTGTTAACCTTGGAAAAGGTGCCGTAAAAAATACGAATTAGTATTTCGAAGTGCTGTTTCAGTATAGTGGACCGCAGCAATATACATGCTTCATCGAGACTGTCGAACTGAGACAAGCATGGAAGTAGCTTTTTAAGATCCACAGTTCTTTAAACAATTGAATCCAACATATTACATCGATCAAACGATAATTTAATAGTCGTTACAAGAGCAGTAGTTCTTAAAAACATAACACCACAGATACGTGATCTTTGGGATACACGCAAATTCGAATGGAAACCAAAATACGCAGCAACGAATGTTTTTTTTTTGTCATAATGCAGTAATAATTCGAGTACCTGGAACAGGGTCTGTTAAGCGTCGCAGGTTATCTCATTTTTTTCCTATCTGCCATGTGGCAATACAATATTTTCGAACAATTATAGCATTTACAAAATTATTTGATTATGTAATAAAGGCCCTACTTGTTTATTTTGTTTGCTCCGGTGATGTGATTTTAAGCACATAGACGGTATATCTGTGAGTGCGCCAACTAGTTTCAGAGGTCCAAAAACGTGTTTTATGAATACCTGTACATTTCAGCGGTCATTACCGGTGTAGTTTGTTTCCGTTTGAAATAATAATCGAGATGCGTTTCTCAGCTGAGTATTACTGTTTGCAAAACAGTCATATTCAGCGACAATAGGCAGGGCCATTCTTCAATTCTCCAATTCAGAACAGAGAAATGACTTTAAATTGAAATGCGAATATTCTATATATATTATACATCATATAATTGAAATCGCAGTCGATGAATAGAGCAACGTTTATTCTAATTATCAATCTATTATTTTTGGTTACAGTCGTATGTCTTGTCCAACTGTAAAGCTATTACAGGCCGAATATAAAAATCTAGACAGTCTTTTTATAAAGGTTTGTATGCCTTCGAGGCTTATTTTGTACGCATTATATTTGACCGTGTTTTTCTTATACGTTCACCTTCTATTGCTATTCTAGTTGCATTCATTATAAACTTCCTTTCAACTTAGATTGACCTGTTGTCACGTGACAATACTGCCCAACGTATATTATGGGCAAAGCATGATGTTAGATGTACACGGAATTGACTATTTCTACTAGCGGTATTTTAGTAGGCCCCAGTTTTCAGACAGCCTTATTTGACTACAGACTGTTATTTCCTATATATTGTACGGAGGTGGAATAGAAACCCTCAAACTGTCACGGAACTTTTTTCTAGCGTGCGAACATCTGGTACTGCTCTTGTTTACTGTCTATTAATATTTATAAAGTTCGCGTTTCGTGAGACGACGGCCTAATAGTAACGAACTGCTCCGTGTGTCTCACAAAATTAAAATTTATTACAACAGCCGACAGATGTGAAAAGAGCATCTTGGTACAAAAATAGATGTTAAATGTAAAATTGCACAGCAATGTAGGATTTATCAAATAGCTCAAAGAGGTAATAAGCAGGGGATCATTTTAAGAAATCCTGTAAGTACGAAAGCACATGGACTATAAACAGGGTACGACATCTAGATTTCCTGATGCTTTATTTGTAGAATTGTATTTAAATAAAAACAAAAAAATACGCTAACGAACGAGTTGTTTTTACGTCTGCGTAAAGTGTCATTTCTCATGGTTATGCTTACCGTGATCGTCGTTCGCGATAACGGATCAGGTCGGGATCCAAACCGCTCCTTAGTCTTTTCAAAATGTTCCTTTTTTAACCCACAAATAACTAATGTCTATAATTTTAGTCATCATTGTGCGTCAAGCGACATCGGTAGGGTTGGATTCTCTAAAGGGTCCTTTAATAGCGCTACTTATATAATATACCTGCGAAATCAAACTTTGTGTCGATAATAGGTTAGAAGTCCGAAAAATGCAAAGGCTTAAAACAACCAAAAAGCCCAAATCGGCAAAAAATGGCTGGCTAACCGTTAGGGCTTATCTAAACGGCCAAATTGCCCGTTAATTCCCGTAATTCCACCCGAAAATTCAGTAGTGGTTTCTTGAGCGCCCTAAAATTTAGATGCAGATAACAATAAACGAGTAAACAAAAGCGCATCGATTTGTGTCATGGACGCAACGTTTATTTCTCGTTTTTCATCCGTGCTACACACCTTATTATTATTATTGCTAGTTATTTGCAATGGAAAAGGACAGATTGTTACCGTTTATTTCTAATTTGGTAGTGTTAGAAGATTACAGGGTTTCCTAGGAAGCTTTTCAAGTTATTGAAAGTTAGTTTCACCAGTGTCATCATCCAGCAATCTGGATATACTATTGATCGCACGTACGGCGGGTACCCATTGTCTCTATACAAATGCGCGATTGATGCGTTGTGGTTGAGGTGAGCCAACTCACGCACGATAAAAAGTTTAAAACCGAATTTGCCGAAAATAACGTCTCCATAATACGACTGGCACCAAAAGTTGTTTTTTTCTCTATACTAAAAAAAAAGCTATGTAGGATAAATGCAAAATACTGGCGTAATGGTACATATGATTTGAAAAATCCATCGAGACGACCGCGCCTATTGCCTCGAATTCGAGCTTAAAAATCGTATCCAATCCACCTTGTTGTAGGTCTATGTAAGGTTTCTGATGTGATTGTAACGAACGCGTCAATCAGCTGTTCAGCAGATTAAGGAGTGACCATGTTATTTAATTCGTTTGAGCTGCGTACTAGTCCTTGTCTAATAGAAAAATAAAGCACGTTCAGAACGGGTATTAGTCCTGTACATACCGTCTTCATCTGATAATTTCTCTTTTGGATTACTTGTATGTGTATTTGATCTAAATAATAAAACTTTTCCTATCTTGATTTTAGGTGAACAGCTTTTTCAGTGGTAAGATATTAGGCCGGAAGCACGCTTTCTAGCCTGGATAGGCAAACCCGGTAGCACTAGTGTCTAGCTAACCCCGTATACTGAGTTGAACATTTATTCCTCACACTGTTAGAAACATTGCAGTCCGTCGACCCACTGCAGGCCAACGTTGAAATAACCTATTCGACGACGTATAATCACTTAAGCCTTAAAGGTGTTCTGCATAGCCATGGCTCAGGAACACTGCAGTAAGTTTAAGTAAACATTTAGATGTTTGAGGACAGCATGTAGATTTTCCAAAATTTATAAAATGGCGCGTTGCAAATTATTAGTTATGTTGTTTTCCAATTGGTTTGTTAAACGCTTCCTGAAAAATCCCATACGAAATATCCAATCATTGGATGAACCCAAACGTCTTCCGAATTGTACACGTATCTTTAGAACAGGACTGAGCCTTCTCCAACTGAATCAGCATATTTTCTAGGCAACTTCTGCCAAATATGTGAGAACTCTCTACTCCCGAAAGCAGCGCCGCTAGTCTAAATTGTTGAATCAGTCCGTTGCAAAAAAGAAAAGAGTCTCTAATCTGATTTATTAATGCTGAGATGTAAAAGAGAATATCTTGGGCAAGATTCGCTGGGCACTAAATATATGTGAATCACTTCACCTTAATGAAGAACTATTTCCCACCTGACTATTGATTCTGTGCGCTTTTGAGCAGAAGCTTTTTGATAAATGATTTAGGTTTTCCCGACACCTGGCTTTAGTGGCCTGGGCTTCTGCAACAGAAACCTGTAATCATTTCACTCAAATGCCACGAGGTTTACTATTTAATCCCTGCGAGATAAGAGTTAATACTTCACAGTTCCTTGAAGAACAGCACTTACGACTTTTTGCGGCCCTTAGAACATTATATAACCAAGAATTCCGGCCCTGATGGTCTGTCTTTTATCAAACGTACCTCAGTTATTACTGCTCGCAATCCTAGCAAATAGCTGCAATTTTACCATAAATATATATGGCCAATCAAAGCTCCTCTATTCTAAAAAGGACTCTTCTCGCAAATTAAGATGTATCAATCTACGTTTTGGTCTAGAGAAACTTTTTAGTTTGGCCAACTATAGCTTTTCGTTAATAACTAACATTTTTTTCATAAAAAAAATGAAATTGTTTTTTTATTAAGGCTCCTCAAGGTTATTTCCATTTCCCGCGAAAAGAAAGTACACGATTTTGAGGGTGAACCAGTAGTGTTTATTGATTGATTTATTACTGTTGCTTCTTTTCTGTCTGCTTTATTTCCATTTATTTTTGTTCCAGTTTGTATGTCATCATGTCCTTCTGCTGCATTCATATGCATTCATTCGTATTTTTCCTCAACGCTATTCAGTGTAACGTCGAAGTTAGCATCGGTTTGTTATCACTGCTGAGCCACTTTGTTGCTATTATCGCTTGTCTGCCCTCCTCTTCAATATGTTTTTATCATTATTATAATAATTCATCATTGTTATTTATCTTTTCACTCGCCCTCTATGCTTAGTTCCTTCAGATATCGTTGATGCTGCGTCACATTCATATTTACACTGACGTCATTTTATCCATCCGCGTCCGCTTTCTTCTTGCGGGCGCTGACCAGGATACGTAGAGAGGGAAGGGTGGTTGATTATTCGTCCCCTTCTCCTGTGTTACCTAGGATTTCCATACTCCTTCCTACTAGATCCTGAACTGATCAGTATTAATTATATATATACCCCAGTCGTACAGCTAGAACTACTCGATGCTGAATAGTGCCACATCTATCGCTCATCAAAAACTATTTACAACATCAAGAGGCGACGAGACTGCGTCATACGACGAGAAAATCCAGCTTCAGCAGGTGAGACCATGAGACCATTCCGCTACTCTATAATGACCGACTTCTTAGATATACTATAATATCCATTCGTATGATAGATTTTTTTTGGTCTTTTTATGCTGTTTTATATTCTACTGTTGACGATATTTAAGACTCGATGACCTCTTTCTCGAACACTAACACGATTCTGCGGATTTCAGTTTGGTACGGTATTACAGAGCACGCTCTCTCTATCTGCGTCGGATATGCGTGTTAGACGTGTTCGCATCCACGTGTTTGTTGACGTTGAGTCAATGTGTATCTCCTTTGATAATAAGAACGGAAGATGAATGATTCTATTATTAATGAAATGCTAGTACTTGTACTTAGCCGCTATCGTATCGATTAACGCTTGATCTTCGTTCTCTACGTTCGTCCATTGTGCTATCCTTGAGTCCAGGAGTTTCGAGGGTCTCCTTTGTTCTCTTCTGCCGTGGCAGCTGTTTATCTCTCGGTGTGATTCGCTGTACTTCGTCGCCACAAAATAAATATGCATTCGTTTCCTGCATCAATTTCATCGTCTCTTGTTGCAACCTCTTTTCGCGAGTACATTGCAGTAGACCTATTTGTCTTGCCCATTAGTATTTTTTTCAGGCGTAATTGCTTCGCGGGTAGGATCACTACCGCCGATAATGTCACAGATTAAATAACGAGGATTGTTGTCTCCCACGTCAACTCTCCTTCAGCCTTTACGCCTACACATTCCCTTTAATTTATATCCGCTTGCTAGTCGGCTTATTACACAGTTAGTGATTATAGACATAGTAATATAACTACAACAAAAATATTTGTTACGTATATATATATATATACGTAGATATATATATATAGAGAGAGAGAGAGAGAGAAAAGTAATAATTATGTCAATGAAACGAAATTATGATCAACGTGAAAAAAATTTCCGTTGTTTGTTCCCGATTTTCTCAACATGGCTATTGCCCCGACCTATTTAACCCATAATACACAATTCTAGAAGTAACTAATGTATTTGAGGGCTGAATCATGTTCACGCTGACAATCTTTAGTCCTTAATTTGTCCCTATAGTAATTGCATTTGATTTTGAGATGCTCGAGGGTAAATGCGCTACATTCGTTCTTGCCTTCTCCATCCATCGCAGTCACTTCCTGCTTACTGTCTTGGCTCTGTCGCCCGCCAACGCAAACGCGTAGGACAGCCAAACTGAAAAAGCAACTGTTCTTCACACTGTTACTGTAGTGTTATATTCTTCGTTGTAGGTCTTTGTTTATCTTTGAAGCAGTAGCCTGTTATGCAAGACTGTCATGTCCTCCAGATTTCGTGCACATGTGTTCGTACGTCGTCTGCTATTACCACATGACTGCATATGCGTTTCATAATATGCGTAAGGCGGGCGGAGGGGGGAGGGGGGAGGATGAAAAGTTGTTTTCTAGCGTGTTCACCACCTCGTACTACTTCACAGCGCTTCGCACTATTACAGGATGGCTTTCTTTCATTTAGCGGCTTTTTGTCACGGTTAGAGATAGTTCGCCTTCCACTAGAATCAATTAATCTGCTAAGAAGCGTTGTTATCTAGGACATGAGTCGCCTGTGACAGCCTAGATGTAACACATATGCTCGACATACATACGCTGTGTGTATGTTCGTTCCACATTAGGTATCGTTTTCTGTATGTTCCTACAACACTTATTTGTTTATGAAATAAGTCTAATAATCCAGCAGTAGGCGGGTGCGCGGGAACCAAAGGAATCACCCCTGTCGATCTTGTTCTAACAACGTAGCTGTTACCGATATCGACATATCGAATTGGGTGGAATGAACCGAACTTGTTCTCAGTGTTACGTTTTCCCAAACAGTACTCGCACGCATTCTTTATCATACAGAGCCTCAAGATTAGTCCTGACGATAAGGCCAGTCCTAGGCCGGACGCCTTTCGACACGTCTTCTGTTGTATTTTATGCTCATACGCTTTACTGCCTTTGTGTCGATGGCGTCGTTACTGTTGCGTCTTGTCCCTTGAAAATCTTGTGTGGATGATTTTCCTCTCAGAGTGTTGTATCCGATGGTTTCTAATCGCAGCTCAAATCTTAGTTTGCGCGAACAAAATCCCTTGATACAGGATACCATTGATTTCCATACTAACTGGTATTCCAGCTTCAACCGGTCGACCATCTACAAACAAAATAAAAAAGAACATTATGCAGTGTTAGACTGCTTATAATATCGAAACAGGATCAAGGGTTTCTGGTACAAGACAAACATATCGAAAGCGTAAGTAAGCTATTAGGAAAATCATGTAAAGCGCTGCTAGCGTCTGCGTTACGGTCGTACTTAGAATCATTGCTAATATTATGAGACGCAAATACCTTCAACGGACCTTTTCGCATGAAGACTACTAACTGAACGTTTTTTACACGACCACGAAATCCGAATTTACTTAATTCTCACTCCTTTAGTCTACTGACACTAATTAGAAATAGTAGCTTCGCCTACCTTTGCCAAGGAGAGGTCCCAGAGCTTTACTCTGCTGTAGCTGCTGCTGCTGCTGTATATGTGTTTTTATAAGTTCCTCCGCGCAGAGTTTCTTAATTTGTTGCGCCGTTGACAGGTGATCCGATGGACTCAACTGATCGAGTGGGGAGCCACTGTTATTTGCGCCCCCAGACGATGACAGATTCCTTTTTAATGACGAGGGCAGAGGCTGCGATGAAGGCGGAAGGCTGCCGAGGCCAGGCGGCAATGGAGGCGATCTACGTTCCATTTTCACGTCGAGATTGAGCGCCTGCTCCTGGCCGCTTAGAAGACCTCCGCCAGCTCCAGCGATCATTGAACCGATACTGTTGTCCTCTTCACCTGTTGGATAAGCGTGAACACGAAAATGAAGGTCTAGGTAAACCATATGTATAGCTTGCTCTCTTTAGATCCTATTCGATTTCGTTAATAAGTTAGGGTTTTAAAAATCCAAGCGGCATCCTAGTTGTTTCCATAGCCAACCACGATATAATTGTTATACTATACTAATCATAATTTTATTGGTTCGTTTAGCGGGCGTGTTCATTGTTAAACTTTTGTTCCGGCATAGTATAAGGGTGTAAGCGATCGAATTTTTTTACGGTCCTCGTTATCGTAATTTAGGTACAATTTCGATGAAAGAAACAAACTATCTAAATAGTCATTTATTCAAAGTATAAGATCCAAGCACAGTAATTCGTTTCACGTGAAACTCTTCGTAATTAAGCAAGGGAAACAGCTAATATAGTCGCAGCATTCTTCGTTCTTCTTTATTTCTATTTGGTTCTTTATTCTAAAAAAAAGGTGTCCTCATTACACTCTCCTGCCAAGTGGCAACTCCACCGATGTTACAGTAATACAACCGGACTAATATTTTAATTACTCTGCGTATCTTCATCCTTGTCTTCATCCGAACGTTTTTGTTCGTTGTCTCTCCGTCGACGCTGTTCCACATATGTGAATGCAATATTAATAGAATTATTTCGAATCGAAAAGTACGCGCAGCAGAGGAGTCACTAGCAACTGTCGCCAGCCTCAGTAGAACCATTATTGAATCAGCTTTTCGTTTCGTTTGTCGTTTAATCGACTGCGAGGCATCATTAATTCGACGAGCTCCCGCTGGGTGCGGTGTTTTGAAGCGCTTGAAAATCCTTCTTGCAGACAGAAAAAAGATCGAAGGAGTCGCTTTCTCTGTGATTCTCTCTCGGTAACATTTTCTATGGCCAGCGGTGGCAGACGAACATGGGAATCCAAACCGAAACAACAACAAACGATGAAGTAAAAACGACGTGAGACAAGCAGCGCAGAATTCTTACGTGTGCTTCAATAGTAAAGCTCGTAGCCTCATCCTATGTACGTAGACACATAGTAATAGCTTACGTCGTGGACACCGACTCACACGGAACTCGACAATGCTCAGGCTACAACAACTGCCGCAGTGCTGATGATCGTGAGCGTCGTCATAACAACGACGCTCTTGGATCTATCGGCGAACGGTGGCATTCGAGATGCTGTAGGCGACTCACGCTCGACAGCTTTCTCCGGTGGAAGACAACATTTGAAAAATCCAGCCATTTAAAACGACTGGATTGGCCATGCAACGAAACATAGCACTTAAGTTAGCACCATCACCATAAACAGTCGTACTTCTATTTTTTCGTATATGCTGGTCGATAGATGTATATATACCCAGTCACGAACCGATGATAGCTGGCTGTAGTTGGAGGCTTGCAAGGCGCTTCGATATGAATGAAAGGGTAAGCTGGTAAGTGTATATAAAATTATGAGCTGGATCTTTTTATACGCGTGTGGCTGACGATGGCAACTAAAAGAAGTAAACTTCTTTTTTAAGTTAGCGTATAGGGAGCAAATAGCCGACTATATTGGTGAATTTCTCGTTATAAATAAAATCTCGAATAGGAGTTTGTTTGTTAACAAGCTATGTCGAACATACAGGGACTACTTAGAGTAGGCAAATGTCAATCCTACATATTCAGACAACAAGTGAAGTGGACCCTTTTTACTGAAGCCCGCGCTTAGCCCAAGACGCTACCTTAATGTGCGAATTTAACTCATGTTCTGTTTTTATTATAATAGCAAGTGAAGACCCGTCAATGGTTCCTTCGCGAAAGCAGACTGATAAAAGAGGGAACTTTAAAACGACAGCACAGATTTAGCTCCTTGAGCCATTTCTACCGTTGTTAATATTTTATATTTTTTCTACTGTAATTTGTGTTAGATAGATTTTTCAGAATCATCGTTGAGTATCATCTAGTACGTAACAGTGATCAGACAAACGGGTGTTTATTACCACCAATAGCATAGGACCATTGAATATTTTTTGTTATTTTCTCAGCGTAATTAAGCGAGGATAAACGCTCAAGCGAAACTCCAAATACCAACAGAAATTCACCGGCTATGCAATGGCGATTGTTACGTTGATGATAAAAATATTAACCTTTTCATATAATTTATCATTACTTCATTTGGATTTTTAATGAAACCCCGCTTCGCGTGTGTACATCTATGATCACATGAGCCCCCGACGCAGACATCTTACTTACGCTATGCGTTTTAGCGCCACTTCTGCCACATGCCACTATCATAAACTGTTATCTTGATTGTATATATGTATATGTACTAAAGCATACATACATGTATGTAAGTTAAGGTGATGCGATTGCGTCCATACGTACTCGCGAATTTATATAGGATCACTCTTTTTGGAATGACTTTTGTAGCCAATCCCTCATATTTTAAGCAATTTGCTCAACTCGCGGCAATGGACCGACTGGTCGCGCCGATGCTGGCTAACTTGGACTGTCTCATTGTTCAGTAACTTAAATGTGCCTGTCCAATGGCAGGAACAACAGGCGTCCGCAAAGGATGAACAAATCGTCCTCTGATGTTTGTTGCTGTTATGTGCAGTGTTGTTCTAATCGGCCACTTTGTTGCCGCCATCTTTATCGCAGTTAGCAAGAACAGCATCAGCAGCTGCGACCGCGGCGACGATGGCAGAGGCCCCCCAAACGCCGCGGGAGAGAAATGACAATTCGAATATACATACATACACACAGCATACGTATTACATACACGCGAGTCTACATAGATATTATATCTACATATATGTACACAAAGATGTCTTGAGCATGAGGTACATATTTGTAAATTTATTTATCTGCGTGGTTGTGTACATTGCTGAATAGTCTACACCAATTTAAAGGCGCGCTACCAAGCACCCCACTATCTTGCTTCTGCTCCCTTCCTCTAGGCCTATATAGCGTGCAGTGCGCGAATCCGCGCACAAGTGCATCTCCATAAAGGAGGCCGGCAGTTTCCATACGGCGACCCGGAGTACCAGCGTACGCACGAGATACAGCAGCCGAACCAGAAGACCAACGAACGATCTGACCGATGCCCTGACGAGTCGGCACACTAGCAGCGATGTCTACCTCTTCTTCATTTTCTTTAGCGACGCTGCTCGCTAAGCCAGTCTCTGGGCATTCGATGAACCAGCAGCGGTCCAACAGACCGCTGGATGAAGGGAATCGTAAGACTAATAAATCCATGCTGATTAGTGGTCGGCGATCGAGTGAAATAACGGCATGATATGGTTGTTTCGCTTGTCCTCCCTTTTCTAACTTCTCGACGATTTCAATTAATTCCAATACGTAGAACAACGTTAGTACTGCGGGAGGTAAAAGTTTGTTTTTTGCGGCATAAAACATCGGTGTTCGGTTGAGTGAAATGGCGTATTATTAATTGTCAATCATATTTATCTTCATTAATTCGAGAAAAGCGAAAACAAAAAAGGCCAGTAATCGCCCTGAATCATCATCGGATCAAGTGTCCCTGTCCGTTACGTGTTAGTCTCAGCTGAGGCAATGTTGAAAAATCATAAGAACCGTACGAGCGGTCGCGCTCGAGCGAACCTCACGCTGAGATAGCGATCGTTTGATGTATTCATATATGATAATATCGAAGATCGCAGTTGGCACAAGTTCACTGATGTATCACTTGAGACTGGATTGATTGATAGTTTAGTGCAGCACCCTTGTGTAATGCTATTTCACTTTATATCGCGTCTGGATTGAGGATTACTCCATGCTGACTTCGGATTGTGCTACTTCGTTCTGAAACACCATTTGACAAGGCGCCGTAAATGGTTTATGGCGACGATACTTTGACGTAACACATGACGGTGACGCTGACGCTGAGGTCGGCCATTGGACCTCATCATTGAGCATCACCAGCTTATTGAAATTAAACTAACGATATCGATCTATTTGTGCGCAGCTCGATCCAACGCATCATCCAACATTACAATTACTATAATAATGATAATAAGTATCGCATAGAAAAACAAGAAAGAGGAAGACCCACGGAAATGGGAGCTATCTAATCATAAGACGACCTAGATATTAGCATTGGATTTAGTTGTTCATTTGTGATACAAGCTCAATCAGAAAGAAAGTTTAACTAATTAACTCTTTTGATTGATCGGGATCACGACTCCGTCCGTACACATACATAATGTACATACTAGACTCCTTCGTTGTATTTTTTTCCGTTTTAAATTTATGTTAGGACCGATTATCATTATAGTTATCCATAAGTTGGCCTGTATAATTAATTCCCATCTGTGTCATGGCACGATTTCCGCAGCGCCTAGAGCCCACTTGCGTGAAACCTATCGTCCCCTTTTCACGGCAAGTAACCATTCGCTGTTAAACAGACAAAAATTTCGTTGAACGGTTCTCATCCATCCTTAAATGTTCGTTCCTGTTCAGCGACAAAGAAGTAGATCGACGCGATCGAAGCTTGACCGTTTTCTGAACAAGTGAGCATCAATCACCAGCAGCGAATAAATATATATCGACCGCCTCTTGATTGTCTAAAACCGCATGACTATAGTCTGAATGTTCGGTGTGTACATGCTCATTCAAACAAAAGTACACAGGTAACCATTGAAAGTGGTGATATGGGTATTTCTGTACGGACCACTACGAAATTATAACCCATATATAACACATCTCGCCCAATATTTTTACCACCTATCGTATCAAAATGTTGATTTTATTTTGATTAAATTTCTATTTATCGAATTGTGTCGAAGGTACACACTATCCTACTTGCGACTGTCTCTTCATTCGGTTTTTACAATAAATCTTTAAAAATCGACTCCTAGCCGGAAGCCAACTCCTTGAATTGGCAGGTTAGACGAAAAAACGTTCATTTGCGTAAACTATATATATATTGAAGGAGTTCCACCCAAAACATAAGACTACCTGTGGCCCTTTAGCATTTCGACCGGACTTCAATTCAACAGAATTCGCCAAGCAATCGATTTTGAGTCTGTCCCTATGCTCTGCTAAAGGAGATATGTGTGTCCATCTGTTAGATGTATATAGCCGCACTATGGCCAAACCGAGTAACTCAGAACGACTGGACCTTCCCTAATTTTTTCTCATTTTTTCTTACATTTTTTTTTTCGTCATTTTTTCATCAGCAGCCGTCTTCTGCCACTAAAGAAGAGTTCTTCCCTCCAGCTCCTAAAAAGCGCAACCATTCCCGCGTCCGGTTATCACCACTGTGGGTCGCCTATTTGCCGCTTCACAAATAACATGCCAATGTCTACTGCTTTCGGCCTACTGGGAATATTTTTAACGCTAGGCCGTTTTGAAGCACACCACTGGTAGGCGCAGATACCTGACGCCGGAATCGCTTTTAGGCCATCATATCTTTTGTCGAAAGGGATCATCACGCCATTCGCTCTACGCTTTCAAATCCTTAAGGAAATTGCCACCTGAGCTCGTTAGTGCCACTAGCAGCCGAAGTAGCAACAATAGAACATCAGTATCCGTAACAACAATGGCAAACGTAGCGACATAACGCTGCATTGATAATGCGCGCTCGAACGCCATCTGCCGGGAGTTTGATGGTGTGTTTACTTTTTGCCTAATCACCATTGTAGTGGCTCTAGTTATTGCGAACTATTTAATACCGATTTACAGGAAGGCCACATACTTGGGTTTATCCTAAACGGCAGCCTGGCCCCTAGGCGAGGGTGATGCATATAGCCTTATATTAAGTGATACGGTTACGTTGTGGCGATATGTCGGAAGATGTTAGAAGGCATGTTTTTAACTTTATCAGATGAGAAACGCCCTACCGAAGCTATCGTTTATAGTAGGGTTTGATTCATATACGACCATAATCGAATCATTTTATTGCTAATGTAACGGAAAGTTTCTAGCGGTAATTAAAGATATATCAGACATACGTACTATAATTTTTGTTCTGCCAGTCGCTACAAAGTGATGCTGCGAGGGAGATATAAGTAAGCGTAGACTAATCTTTGCCATAATAACTTAGCATTACATTGAACTTTTTGCTTCAAATTATCCTCAGCACTTCTATATACATCGACCACGCTAGAACAATCATGATTAAGCTGTGGACGGCATGTTTCTTTAGCCGGGAAACGAGCATTCTACACTGCATCCAGCCCCTATATTGGTATTCATATTAGTTTATATCATTAAGTACGACTATAGGCTACAAGTTTTACTACCGTCTACGATAACATAAGTGGCTAGCTTTTTTCTATTTGCTTCTAAAACGTCTAGCAGGGAGTACAGTCACTACCTTTACGAGTTTCTTTTCAATACGACGACGACTTTTAGGGTAAAAACAGCAGCGGCGATAATGAGTCTTTGCCTTCAGCGAAACCATCTCGTAGCGTCGTCGCAAAGAGGACTATCCTACCCCAACAGAGTCATACGCACAATGATAGCAGGACGTACTCTATAAGGCATCCAACAGAATCTGTCGAATCTGAGAATCCGAACTGTGAATCTGAATCTGTAAGGATCTGTTGAACAAAATACACTGAATAGCTAACGTGCCTGTGGCCATACAGCGTCACCGCTGCTGTCGCCTATAACAAAACGAACCAAGTAACGCTACTTGGCCAGTCGCCCGCATTGCGTCAATAAAGTCAAATAAAAAACAGTACAAATCAATTTTTCCAACAGTTCTTCATCAGCGACGAAATGACCATCACGACAAATCTATCGGCAGCTAATGCTTGTTATTTAAGCCTGCTTTATTGATTCAGCGTTAGCTAGGTAGCCGAGTGGAGGATACTTGGGCATGCCTTGTTAGTGCTGTAGATGTCAGAACCACAGATCTCTCGTCGACAAAATTGCCTTCAGACCATTTCTAGTCGTCGTCTGATGAAGATATCTCAGGACGTCCGACTCGCAGGGTTTGTTACGTCGGCACACGTCGATGCATCTATGCACGTATCTATCCGGGCGCATGTTCTTGCTTCAGTATATGTTTTTCCACACCTGCGTGCGTACTAGCTAGCCCTCAGCAGCAATATTACTAATAAGAACTGCCACTTATCTATTAGCTACGTATGTATATTAACGAAGACGTTCAAAGCCAGCGAAGGCCAATAGTAAACAGCTACGATAGATGCATGTAAGCACCTAAGTGCTTATAGGTCGGCGAAGTGGAAGGCCTATAAGCCGAAGAAGTCTACTCATTTCGGAGAAAAAAGTTCAACTAATTCATTAAATGCTAAATGCGGCACGGATACATAATGCATTGAAAGCGCACGTTTAAATAACGTTTTACCCATGAGATTTTGTGAGTAACAACTCTATCGTTTGGTCATTTCGTTTCTGATGAGTTTCGTTGCCGAAACCATCTCTTCTGTGTAACCATTGACCTTAGACGCGTTGTCCGTGTCTTCCTATAGTTCCCCTGTAACGGTCTTCAACTTCGCTTTGATTTCATATATTTTGTTCGATGCCTTCGGGACAGTGGCTTTCCCATCCAAATGATTCATGTTTGATCTTTCCTCAATTGCGGATGAAGCCAAGTTCAATAGCGGCTCCTCATGTTAACTAATGTTAATTATTTTTGTTGTGTAACTTTCAACAGTTTTACCGTTCGGTCGATTTCAGCAGTACTGCGACGTACGGCACGTGCTCACCTTTGAGCAAATGCTCTGCTCTGCTCTGGCCATCGAGAGATTTCGATTATATGGAGACTTGTGTCAGCGGAAAAAAAGAAGAAAGAGCTTTGATGATCCGGATATTTCATTGCTGGCTGAAGTTGTTTTAGCATATTGAGTATTGTGCTGAGCACGTAAAGGAATCAAACCGTTTTTCCTTTGAACGATTATGCTGCAGCGCATAGATAGTACAGATGCACAATGCAGCCATAGCCAACCGCCAATAGGAAATCGCTGGCGGACTTTTTTCCCTCGTCCGGGGAAAGTCGCTACACAATTTTTTTTTCAATGGTAATCGGAAAGAAATAGTTTCTTGCTCTTACAGGCAGGATGCCTTTCGTGATATTATGCCTCTGCGAGCCTCAGGGCACCACATCGATGACATAATTAAGGTCTTTTTCTCCTATAATGCTTGCATATTGCCAATCTTAGTGGACGGTGAACTATATAAGCTCCCGCCAGCTGGAGACTGTCATACAGCACACGCCCAGTGTCGTCAGTTCGACCGACGACGCATGAGCGGAATACGTTCAACACAACCCAAACTAAATCATAGGTAAGTAAACGCCCACATATGGGAGTAGCCTGGGCAGTGATACTGGACATTACAAAATAAGATCATTATGTGTCAACGTAATCATAACACGTTTCCGTCTATCTACTGTATTATAGAACAAGTCTGACGAGAGCCCACTATCAGCTCTGAATGTAACAACTGCCTTTAGCTGGAGTAGCCATTCCAGCCGCGAGAGGGTGAACTGTAGTGAAGGAAGCAAGGCTTCGACGCTTTACCGGAGCAGTCATTTTCAGGACGTGTTCACACCAGCAAGCAGGCCAAAGGCGTAGAAAATATAATAAAATAGGGTAAGCTAAAATGTGTATATGTGTACACCTGTGATCGACAATTGATACAACTAGATACCAGCTGATCAGCTTACCCAACTTACCCGAGGAAGCTCCATGTAGATTATTGTTATTTCCGTTGAGTCCACCGTTGAGCTGAAGCAAGCCGCGATGTGGAACAAGTGATAGGGGTGGGGCATTGTTGCTGCTAGGCGAACGTACAGGTCCACCCGAACCGGCGGTTCCTGATGAAAGCATTTCGTTAAAGTGATTGTACGACGAACGACGTCCCTCGCGACGGTTTCCATCAATGGCCGCCTGCAGCTCATCAGGATGACTAAGTTTTTCCTTGTCACACTCATACGGGTAGAGGTACTTCATGTATTGCGTACGCAGAGTGAATGCCGCTGATGTGATGGAAGATGGCAGATTGAGTCCTTTCGTAATTTCGCGCCATATCTTCTTATTGATTACTTCGACAAGACCGCCTCGCGCCACAACCAATCGGTAAAGCTCGTACAAGTCGAGGACCTGTTTTGCCATAATCGGAATACGGTTCACTGGTGTACCTGATAAGATTAAATATAAAGACAGAACAAGTTAAGCTCTGCATTGTGTTTGTTGTGGCGTTCATTTTCAGTAAAATTATTATTTTATTCATACAATGTTGTGCAGTATTTATGTGTCGTCAGCTAGACTTGAAGCAGCGACCGCTAGTTTCCCGCGACTAAAGGCTTGGCTGCCAGCCATTGTGTCAACTTATCTCGATTAGATTTATCATACTTAGACATTGAGATTAACTCGAGAGTCGTTTTAGGCCATACTTTCGAAGGAGAAAGCCAAATAATTTATACTTTCTTATTAATTTTATCAACTTCTTTCGACCCAAATGATGTCACCAGCCTTTTTTGACACGTCACACAACCAACATCAGTCGTAAAAGCGTTAATTAAATCATCTTATCGTCCACAACAACTTGATACCTTACGATCACCTTCCGCATCTAGCTACTTTTTGTCTGGAATTACTTTTCTCAGACATTTCCTCCATAGAACACTTGCTGGGTCAGCAAGACTAAGTGGGTTAGGCCGGAAATGGTAGCCTCGGCGTCTACAGTTCGTGCCGCCTACCACAGTCCGGTCGCGCCGTAGGCCGAAAAAGTATGGAAGCAAGTACCTAGCCCCTTATGGCTAACCTCGATGGGGAAGTCTATACAAATCTACTGACCCGGACGACTTTTCGAACGATGTGCATTTGCCCGGCAGCCAATGAGTGTGCCTCCATAGAGTGCGTCTCCGCACGTAAAGCACCTAATAATACATAAAGCATCGAGCGCGAGAAAACAAGCCAATACGATCTGCGTACCCGCACAGGCCTATTTGGGTGGAAGACAACGTTTGCAGAAGCCAGCCGCGGTTGCACATATGTCACGAAGGGCAGAGCTCAAAATTAATAGGAAGTGTTTATCATAAATGCTAGTTAGCTTATTCCAAACGCTGTAGAGTTCGAAAGCGTATTCTATTATTTACTGGCTTTTTTGTTTCCTGACACTCTGCTTCCCTGGGTCTATATCGTCGTGTTGGTGATACGCCATAAGCGCGGAGACATGGGACTTGTGTTCTAAATATATCACACCCACAAGGCGAGTTTAGGTAAACCATGTGAAGAAGATGAGCGACCGCACAAAATCTTCGAACATATATGTATTGGTGCAGGGGAGTATACGTCGTTAGGAGCGGAAGCAATAACAGTCCCGGATAATAGTAATATATATTTTTAAATGCTTACAACTGACAATAGAAGTGAGCTCGGGAAGAGTCTACGATGTTATCGTTATTTCGATGCGTCGTAATGTCGGCGCGAGTTCAAGCAATTACATGAGAGGTTTGTGCTGAAGAACTCCTTTGTGGAATCATCTCCCCATGAATTTTACCGCCACTTGGGTGTCTATGTCATACGCACTAATCTCGCCTGCTATTTCTTCTGAACGAACGTTGAAGTAAAGCAGTAGCTGACGTGAATCTCTTAATATTTATTTGCTATATCGGTGACAAAGAGAATCGTAATCAGCAGACCACGAGGATATTAATCGCTGACCTCATGCGCATAGACTAACTACTTACGCCTAGGCATCGCACATCGCTAGATTCAAGCGAAAAGAAAATCTCTTTGATTCAGTGCACATGTGCATGTACAGGTGTGTACTGGTCGTTAACCCGTTGCCTTTATATAAACCACATTACCGTTCCAGGGTGCGGCTACAAGGGTCCTCACATATTGCCTCACATTGGAGCCGTAGTCGTCGCCTCGGTACACACTTATGCGCTTAACGTGTCAGCGTATCGTACATCGTGCGAACGGCTCAGTCAAGCACGTACATTCTTTTTCACACCCAAACTCTTCTTGCTGCCCGTCTGGTTTCAACAGTTCTTTTTCCTTTGGCTCCCAGCTGGGTTTGCCTTAAGGCTAACACCAAGCTAGCAATGGCGACGACGACAACGAGGGCGGCATCGGCAACAGGGACATCTCGGTGCCGATCATTGAAGTATCGTTGTGTTCGACAGGCACAACCACTGCGGCTGTAGGGACGATTTGTAGTTTTCCTGCCTACTTCTTCAGCTAAAGTGGGGGAAGACGATACGACAAGGCGCGAACTCGTTGTCAGGCAACGGTGAGTCTTGCTGCCGTCGCTACAGCGCAGGTTTTCCGCTGCACTGAAACCGTTGTTGTTGTTGTTGTAGTGACCGTTATCCAACAATTCTGTGCCGGCCAAACAAATACAGTCTCGAAGCTTCATCTTTTTCGTTTGTCGCATCTAACATGTCCTATTGCTGGTTCCTATTGGCCCAGTCAGTCCCTCCGTGCTCTGGCCTGTTGTCACACAATAACTCCACGGTGGTGCTGTTTACTATTCAATTAGCGTTCAGGTCGTATGGCCGACGAACAGTGCGCGGACTAGCTATCCCCCTCCACTCGCGATGCAATTGGCTCCGTTCACCGTCCAAACTACCCCAGGTAGGTAGCATTCCCGTCTCCCCATGCCCCAATGCAGTTCTGCCGTAGTTTCTAACTGCCCGTGAGTTAAGTGAGTGTAGCTCTACGCATCCCCGTTGCTACCGCCGCTAGCGATGTACCAACGGTGGTGGAAGGCGATATCCTCCTCTGTCAGTACCTCTGAGCATCGAAAGCTGCGGGGAAGCAGCGGTGCGCTCGAAATTTTGAGACAAAAAAATAACTCGACAATTAGTTTTCTTCCCCAGTCCCCTTGAACAAACTCACCGGCCCACATATCCACTACCCCCGGCTCGGCCCAGGCCCAGGCCCAGTGCTCGCAACCGACAATCACCCTCTATCTTAACTCTCGTTCTCGTCTACTATACTCCAGTGGCCCCTCACCGCTCTCTGTAGATAGAGGGCTGTTTCTCTAGTTGTTGCAACTTGTCAAACGAAGAGAGACAACTTGAACGTGTTTGGGTACCGAACGACCCCTCTGATGTTTGTGCCTATGAGCTTCCGTGAGGCGGCATGCCCTCGACCCTACTAGGGATGACACGACGTGGCGCGGCCTGCGCACGTGGTGCTTTCCGTTCCAGTGCAACTGCAAGCTCACGGCACCGGCGAAGGATCTTGCGTAACCCCTTTTTTCGCTCTGCTTCGCTATGTGCCCGAGCAGCTACTGCGCCTAACCAGGCTACCCGCTACTTGGTCGTACTTCTGCTAACGCGCAAAACTTGGACTCTCTGTCGCTTTGACGACGACACCGCTACAGTAGCAACAGCAGTACTTAATAAACACTGTCCAATTCAGCCCTTTTGCTGCCCCTTCGGCCCCTCGCTCCATATCCCACTAACCAAGCAGGCACCTTGCTCCTCCGACTTGAGTCGACCTAGTGGCAGAGAAATAGCGATAACGCAGTCAGAGTGTTACAGCGACGGATTTGTAGCAGTCGTAATAGTCTCGACAGCAGAGTGGTAGCTCTAGAGCTAACGCAACATAAACCTTCTAATTTCACTACCATTGCAAGGTTAAAACCTTTTGCCGACAGCCGGGCTGGTAAGGCTGAGCGACCGGAAGGTTTTGGGCCTTGCAAGTTGTCGTGACTTTCGGTGGTGACTTTCTGCGATTCTTGCTACGACGCTAGCTCGCATGAGCATTCACGCAACGCGGAGACAAACAGGCTATTTTTCGAAATAGCTAAATTGAGCTAAAGTTGGGTTCAGGTGGGGGTAATGTAGCCCGGGAAACGGGGAACGGTCGCCCGCGACGACGAGTTGCGAACGTTTAGCGACTGAGGGTCGTTTACTAACAGAATGGGAAAGTAAAAGAATGAGAATATGAGTCAAAAAATAAAAAATTGAGAGAAGCGGTAGGAATTAGCCGATACGAATCTTCTAAAAGTGACTGAATCTTGGGGAAAAATTGTGCAATGACTCGCCATTTTGGCAGATACCAGGTTAGTGCTACTTCTGCTACTGTCGTTGTTGTCCTTGTCGCTACTAAAAGGGAATATATGTTGCCCCTGTGCACTTCTTTCTCCCTTTGTTCCTCTTGTGTTGTATGCCTCTTTGCCCCGTTTGTCTGTAACAACCTAGCCTGTAACAACAATCACCCCTTAACCGGTGCCCCTGACTCTGACTACCCAGGAGCTTCACTTGAACTGTTACGTTACGAAAAAATTCACTTGGTCGGAGCCTTTCATGATGCCCACAAAAACGACCTAGCAATAGAGCAACGGTATCGCATTGTAGAAAGTGGCGGCAATTGCAAAATCAACTAAAGTATTATGAGAAGAGCTCATGAGAATGAAACGACAAAGAACATGTCCTGTACTGAAAGTGACATTTCAATTACAACTGTGGCCTAAATCACACATGGAACTCATGACCGTACGCAGAGAGTATTAATATTTTCCTGCTTCTTAAAAGCGTCAGCGGAGTTGAAACATATAATTAGCAGATTTCATGATTCCTACCTGGAGAGTATTCGTCGAAAACAATGTTGGGAATAGATATATCAGAGCAGCAAGAATACGCTTACTTTAAAAAACAGAACCATCAAAAGGCGTAGCCTTGTCCTGTTTGTACGCAGTGAATATAATAACAATAGTAAGGAAATTCGGGTCCTTACGGCTTTTTTGCCAAAGCTATAGTGTTGGTAAATTAACAGTTATTCAACCATATGAAGAAGTACGACGTACCAATTTTTACAACCAAATTCATTCCTATAACTGCGCTCGTCAACACTTTTATCTCTTTTCTGATAAAATGTATTCTTAAAGTAATTCGATTCGGTCGAACGTTATCCGTTGTCGGATATTCGTGGTCCGTGCTTGCCGTCCTAAATGGACTATTGCGCTCAGAGACATATCGCATCAGTGAACCGTAGCGCGCCTCAGCCGCTTCGCGTTCAACCCAAACAACAACAACAGCAACAGCAACAGCAGGCCGTCAAACGGACGCTGATACAAAACCGGACGATGTCTGCGTTGGTGAATGCCAGGGCCGTTTTGCCGTACCGTTTCAATTCATTCCTATGTAGTAATAATTTGGAAATCGAAGGGTTTCAAGTT